TGGGCGGAGCCAAAAAAAGTCCCCCAATGAGCAGCTCTGTGGTCTGAAAGGGCGGGGAAACAGCCCAATGAGCATCACCGCAGAGGAGCCAATCAGGTGGCAGCTAGAGGTTTGCTGGGACCGCTGTGAGCCAATCATCAGCTGGCAGCTAGAAGTTTGCTGGGGCCCCTTTGGCTGTGGCTCTCAGCATTTTTTGATGTGTCTTTGCTGGTTTTTGGGATCAGGGTGATATTGGCCTCATAGAATGAGTTTGGAAGTGCTGCCTCTTTTTCTATTTCCTAAAATAAATTGAACAGTATTGGTATTAGTTCTTCTTTAAAGGTCTTGTAGAACTTGGCTGTGTATCCATCCAGTCCTGGGCTTTTCTTCGTTGATAAGCTTCTGATGGCATCTTCTATTTCATCACTTGATATTGGTCTCTTTAAATTGTGTATATCTTCCTTATTCAATATGGACAAATCATATGACTTAAGAAATTTGTCTATGCCTGTAGGCAGATTTTTAAAATTTTCTATTTTATTTTTTATGTGGATACTTCTGGAGAGGCCTTGGCTGTGACCTGGATCTGCCATGTGGGTGTCTGTAGGCTGACCTACTTGGCACTACTTCTTGGATCTTGATCCTTAAGGTGAGATCTTGTAGACTCTTTATCCCAGAGCTGCTGCATTTGAGCTCTGGGTTGCTCTAAAGTCTTGTGCTTCATACATCGCCCCAGAGATGGTAATGGTGAGCTGCAAACCATCTGGCTGCAGCTGAGAGAACAAGGACTTTCCTTGAGTGTGAGGAAACTGACCCTGCAGCTGCAACTGAGGGGAGGGCACTTGGCAGCTGTTGGTGGAATAGTATCTGCTCTTCAGAAGCTCAGGTTGTTGATGCTGTTGCAGGTAATAATTGTAATTTTGTGGGTTTCTGCCATTTCTGCTGCTGATCTTGTGATATTGAATAATGAGAGTGGTCTCTTCTTCCTACTGCCTCACTTCATTATGCTCAATATCAGCCTTATGAAAAAGGGAGATACTTGGGGCTGGGGTTGTGGCTTAGTGGTAGAGCGCTCACCTAGCACAGGTGAGGCCCTGGGTTTGATCCCCAACACCTCATAAAAAAATTAATAAAGATATTGTATCCAACTACAACTAAAAAATAAATATTAAAAAAAAAAAGAAAGAAAGAAAGAAAAAGGGAGGAACTTGCATGCTGGCTTTCCTTGGTCTCAGTCCTATCCCTGTCAAAAGCATGCACAGAAGACACAGAAGGATGTAGGCAACTGCTCAGCTACATCCTGGAAAAGAACTGTCAAAAGACCCACTTTCTGTGTCATCTTCATACTCCAAAGTACAGCCTGGTTGCTTTCCAGTGCCTGCCACCATGGAGGTGTTGGCACCACCTGTTGACAAGGAAGCCCTTGTGTCTTCAGAGAAAAGCATCTGGAACATAGTTGTTGACCGAGAAGTCCTTGTTCCAAAAGGGAGCAGCAACTGGAGCCTACTTAATGGGGACTCTCTTGTGTCTCCTAAAAAGAGCAACTGGAGCACAACATTGGATGCGAAGTCCTTGTGTCCACAGAGAGGAACAATCTGAGCACATTTTTTGAGTGGGAACCTCTTGTTTATCCAAAGTTGAGCCACCAGCGATGCCTGTCTGAGCTGTCTGGGCATAAAAGAAACTGCTCGGTGGTATAGCTGGGAGCCACAGCCTGGTTGCTTAAAAGTGGATGGGTTTGGATTTGGTGATTTTGTTGTTTCCACATAGCAAATATTCTTTGCCTGTCTTCAGGTGGAAGTCAAGCTGTATTATTCTGAAACCAGTTCTAAAAGGAGAAGATAATGTAGTTTTAATCAAATCTACTTATCTGATTATATTCTTCAATGTATTTCCTCAATGTAGGAGAATTTGACTTGCATTCTGACTTCTGAGTAAGATGTCTTTCCTGAGGCTACATGTGTGATTACACAGGTCATGCATTGAGCATTTCTGGAATCAAAACAACCTGTACCTGCACCGGAGAAGTGACCCTATAGTTTACATGCAAACCAAGGCCATCCAGAGTCTCTTCATAAAGTCTTTGTTACCCTTTTGAAGTCTTCTCTCCCTTGTTCAGAAATTGACCCAGTCTGTACACTCTGCAGAGGAGCCTTCCAACTGTCCCACTTGTGCATGCTTTTGTCCCCAAACCCTGCCCTACCTGAGTGAAATAATGATGTACTTTCTGACACTCCACACTTCTGTTTCTCATATGCTTATAATTCTTACATGCATAAGGTTCAAGGGCCACAAGTAAGGAATTATTTGAATCATTGCCACATATTTACTGTATGACCTTAATCACTTCATTCAGCTTATCTAATCCTGATTTTTCTGCTCCCTAAAGAGGATAGTAAAATGCTTTCCAAATTTTCAGGGTTTTGAGGAAGGGAGAGGTGAATAGAATGCTTTTCTTGTACCCAGACTATAAAAGAATGATTTACAGTTGAGACAATAGGATAGTCAGTTGGATAAACTACCTCCATTAACCTCTGGATTTATATTTCCAACTCTTGGGCCACCAAATTCAGAATTGCTTCGGGCTAATCATTGCAGTGAAGCTACAAAGATCTTTTATTTTTTATTTTTATTTTTAATAAAATTTCACGGGATTCCACCTCTTGGGTCCCCTTCTTCCTCTGGGAGAAGTCTTTTCTGCTGTCCTTTAATAAACTTCTAATTTCTACTCTGAAAAAAAAAAWAATAATAAAATAAAATTTCACAATGAATCAGGCACCTGCAGACGCACTCTTATTTTCTCCTCTCAACCACGCCACAACAGAGAATTAAACATATTTTAGAGAAAGCTGAGATACAAGAGTCACTAATTTGTCAGAAATTACAGAGCCGGGGGATGGTGGGGGACACAGATTTCAAGAATCCAACCAAAAAACAAGCGTTCCCTTCTTCCATCATTAGGCCTCCTGCACCCTTCCATGCCCCTCAGGCTTGCTTCCTGATCACATCTTGGGCCTTCTATAAGCACATGCAACCCCATCCAATCCAGTACAATTTAACTGCTAGTCTCCATGAACTTACTCTTATGAGACTGCCCTTTGACAGCCATGGAAAATGATTAAAAGCCACTCTGAGGGCTGGGGTTGTAGCTCAGTGGTGGAGCACTTGCCATGCACGAGTGAGGCACTGGGTTTGATCCTCAGCATCACATGAAAATAAATAAATAAAGATATTGTGTATTGTGTCCATCTATAACTAAAAATTAAAAAAAAAAAAAAAAAACCCACTGTAGGGCATGGCTGCCTGCTTCCCGGTCTTGGGGCCGCACATGTGGCTGGGATGGCTCCTGACGATCAGCCAGCAGGTGGTGCTGTGGGTGGTGACAGAGGAGGCAGACTACCTCCAGGATAGGTCCAGGACTCTTACGCCCTCATGGACAGCTCCTGCCTTCCCTTAGGGACTATGGGATAGGAGTGCATGTGAACTTGCTCCACCCCTCTGACCTTTATTCTGATTGGCTCCTGTGCAGTATAAAGCTGTGTGTACTTCCTCAATAAAGGAGATCCTCCTGGGGGGGGGGGCGCTAAAAACTCCGACAACCCACTATTGACATTAAGAAATCCAGTAGTCATAAATTCTAAAATATAAAAATAACACTAAAAATCTGTATTTACATATTTGATCACTGTTTTGATTTCTTCTGTAGTCATATCATGTTTTTCTAATTCCTTTTGAGAAATCATTGATCATTTGCATTTAAAAAATTTTTTTTAGTTGTAGTTGAACACAATACTTTTATTTTATTTATTTATTTTTATGTGGTGCTGAGGATCCAACCCAATGCCTCACACGTGCTAAGTGAGTGCTCTACCGCTGAGCCACAACCCCAGCCCCCAGAAATTTTTTTTCCATATTTTTAGTTGTAGGTGGACACAATACCTTTATTTTATTTATTTATTTTTATGTGGTGCTAAGGATCCAACCCAATGCCTCACATGTGCTAAGTAAGCACTCTACCACTGAGCCACAACTCCAGCCCAGAAATTTTTTTAAAATAGTTTTTAGCAACAAAGTTATCTAAATAATATTTTTCTATATATTTTTTTCTTCCAAACCTGAACTTTAATCCCCTTCTAATTTATATTAATGGGTAGTTTCTTTCAACTTTTAAGCAACCAATAAACTCAGTGATCTAGGCAATATTCCAGAATGAAGAACAAGGGATATCTTTAGAAATCTGTTTATAAACTACAACAGAATGGTCAATTTTTACAGTAATTAATAACATTTTCTAAACTGATTAGATAATAAGAAAAATTTCTAAAAAATGTTGGCTCATACAGCAAATAGCTAGAAAGTACTTACCACTCTGTGAGGGCATATGGCAGGTACCACAGGTACTATCAATACATAGCCAATTCTCGAATTTATTTCTCCAGTTAAGTACCCTCCCCTGAACTTCAGACTTACATATATAGCTGAAAACTTTAGAGTTCCACTGGAATATTTATCTAGCACATAAAACATCATGTGTCCAAAGTGTAATGGTGATTTTTCTGACACACACATACCTGCTTTTCTCTAGTTCCCCTCCTTAGTAAAAGGCAACGCTCATCTCCAATGGACTCAAGTCAAAACACTGAAGTCGTCTTTGACTCTACCTTATCTTTCACCACTATGTCCAATATGGCAGTCAGCTATTTCAGCTCTAAAAATGTACTCAGCTCTTTAAAATGTACTCAGTATCTCAATCGTATAAACCTGCAATGCCAGCATGCTGGCCAAACCACCGTCACTACCACTAAAGTAGTATTATTGCAGCATCAACTGCACTCAATCTAGTTTTCACAATACATATCCATTGTATTTTCATACCCATATCAAAATATGACTATTTTTTCATATGTGATGAAATACTACTATATTGCTTCACAATTATTTACATTTTCCACATAGTGTATATGTATTTTTTTTGATCACTCATATTTATTTTTTTCTTTAGTTGTAGTTGGATACAATATATTTATTTATTTATTTTTATGTGGTGCTGAGGATCGAACACCGTGCTCTACGCTGAGCCACAACCCCAGCCTGATCATTCCTATTTCTGAACTCTATGTCTATTCAACCCCTAGCTCCTGCCTCTATCTAGACTTATTGAATTTAACATTCTATTGTGTTTAACTTTCTAGGAAATATGCATTTGAGGTCTTGAACTATTAATTACATGCACTGGACAATGGAGTTTTATGGCCAGTTCTTCTCTTATTGTAAAATCAGGATAAGGAGTCCACATAAATATTTTGTAAAGTTCTTGTACATCTTCCWGAGTAAATTGATTTCGGTGTTTTGTTTTTACACTTTTCTTTGATCCGTTGTTGTTGTTAACATCATCCTTTTCATCTGGGAAACATGATAAAAGTATAAGCAGAGAGAAAAGTGTTAGAGAATACTGATGACAATCAGACTAGCCGGGTGTGGTGGTGCATGCCTGTAATTTCCAAGGTTGAGGCAGGCGGGTCATGAGTTCAAAGTCAACCTCAGCAATTTAGTGAGGCCCAAGGCAACTCAGCGAGACCATGTCTTTAAGTAAAATATTAAAAGTCTGGGGATGTGGCTCAGTGGTTAATTGCCCCTGGGTTTAATCCCTGATTTAAAAAAAAAAAATCAGATCAAAGAAAGACTTCAGAACAGTATTAGGTGTTAGCATCATTGACAACTCACTCAAATAAAATCAAGGCCCAGCCTCATAGTCATTCACAATATTACAACCACAAATGGAAGCAGGGATTGACAAATTATGGGCTGTACCCAACCAGTTGCTTGCTTTTAAAAATGAAGCTTTTTTAAAACAGTCATAGGCATTCATGACTGTTTTCATAGTCTATGGCTATTTCAAGCTACAGTAGTTTGGCTATGATCTACATAGCTTAAAATATTTATTGTCTCAAAGAATTTACCCTTAAAACGAGGTATTCTCTCTGTAGGAGAATACAACTCCATCACTATATTATAATCAATCATGTGTCACTTCATGAAAGGGATATCTTCTGAGAAAAACACCATTAGGTGATTTTGTCATATGAACACCTGTTTTAGTCAGTTTTTTCCRCTGCTGGGACTAAAAGACCTGATGAGAACAATTTTAGGGAAGGAAAAGTTTATTCAAGGACTCATGGTTCAGAAGTCTCAGTCCATAGACAGCTGGCTCCATTCCTTGGAGCTTAAGGTAAGGCAGAATATCATGGCAGAAGAGTGTATCAGAGAGAAGCAGAGAAACTCCACTTGCCAGATACAAAACATATACCCAAAGGCATGCCCCCAGTGACCCACCTCCTCCAGCCACATCCTACTGCCTTCAGTCACCACTCACTTAATCCCATCAAAGGATTAATCCACCAATTAGATTAAGGCACTCATAACCCAATCATTTCTCCTCTGAACCTTCTTGCATTGTCTCATACATGAGTCTTTGGGAAACACCTCACATCCAAACCATAACACCATAGAGTGCACTCACACAAACTTAGATGTATAGCCTATCACATACCTAGTCTATGACATATCCTTTTACTGAGCAACAAATTTGTGTAGCATGTTATTGTACTGAATACTAAAGGCAGTTGTAACACAATGGTAATTATGTATAAATATATCTAAACATGGAAAAGGTACAGTAAAAAAATATATAGCATAAAAAMCAAATAAGTGTGCCAAACATGAATGCAGCTTGCAGGACTGTAAGTTGCTCTGGGTAAGTCAGTGAGTGAGTGGTGACTGGAGTCTGATGGCCCAGGGCATGATTGTGCACTATTGCAGACTAACACTGTACTCTTAGGCTACACTGCATTTATAAAAAATTCTTTCTTCATTGATAAATTAACCCTAACTTAGAATATTCTTAACTTGCAAACTTTTTTAAAATTTTTGACCCTTTATAATAACACTTAGCTGAGAACACATAAACATCTTCTCTTTTTTATATTCTTATTCTATAAGATTTTTTCTAATTTTATTTATTTATTTWTTTTTGGTTTCATAGATTGAACCCATTGGGCTACATCCCCAGCCCTTTTTATCTTTCGTTTTGAGACAAGGTCTTTTTTTTTTTTTTTTTTTTTTTTTTTAAAGAGAGAGTGAGAGAGGAGAGAGAGAATTTTTTTTTTTAATATTTATTTTTTAGTTATTGGCGGACACAACATCTTTGTTGGTATGTGGTGCTGGGGATCGAACCCGGGCCGCACGCATGCCAGGCGAGCGCGCTACCGCTTGAGCCACATCCCCAGCCCGACAAGGTCTTGATAAGTTGTTTAGGGCTTCACTAAATTGCTGAGGCTGGCTTTGAACTTGTGAGTCTCCTGCTTCAGCCCCCTGTGCAGCTGGGATTATAGATGCCTGGCAAGACAATGTCTCACTATGTTGCCCAAGTAGACCCTAACTTCCCAGCTCAAATGGTCTTTCTCCCTCAATAGCTGGGATTACAGGCATAYGTTGCCATGCCCAGCTCAAAAGGTTTATCTTTAAAGCTTTAACTCTTACTCAATCTGTAATTTCCCTCACTTTCCTGACATAGTTCTTCCATTATTGCCCACTAATTTAGCACTCTYCAGTGATACTGGCCTCCTTGCTTTACTTGAACACCCCAGGGCACCTTCCACAAGGTATTTCTACCAGGTTCTTGTCTTTTTTCCTCCCACAATATCTGTTKCTCACTCCCTCCCCTCCCAGCCTTTGCTCAAAACTCAMTTTCTCAGGAATTCTACCTAACTAACCTGAATTATTTTTATTTCCTATTCCCATAACATGTCATGCTCTAAATTATCAAATTATTTATTTATTTGTGGTCCTAAGTATTGAACCCAGGGCCACTCTACCACTGAGTCACATCCCCAGCACTTTTTATTTTGAGACAGGATCTTGCTAAACTGCTGAAGCTGTCCTCAAATTTGTGATCCTCCTGCTCAGCCTCTCAAGTTGCTAGGATTGTGGCTAGTGCCCACACATCAGGCCCAAACAATTTACATTGATGACAACATTCTGTCTTCCCCTCTCCTGCTCTACAAACACTCTAGATTGGAAACTCCAGAGAAAGTGGGTTGTCTTATCTTACTTAGTTTTTATTWTTTACTATTTTCAGAAAGCCTGTAAGATTGCCTCACAAAAATTATTATTTCTTGGCCCAGTGTGATGACAATCCCAGAGGCTTGTATCACAAATTCAAAGCCAGCCTCAGTAATGACAAGGCACTAAGCAACTTAGTGAGACCCTTCTCTAAATAAAATACAAAAATAGGGCTGGGGATGTGGCTCAGTGATCGAGTGCCCCTGAGTTCAATCCACAGTATCCAAATAAATACATAAATAAAAAGGGTTGGGGATGTGGCGTGTGGCTCAGTGGTTAGGCAGTCCTGGGTTCAATCTCTGGTACAAAAAAAAAAAAAAAATCATCAAATTGTTGGAACCACAGATAGGTTGGGGTGAATGGAGCAGGTTTCATGCAAAGAACTGGGGTCATAGTTCAGTCTAGAGCACTTGTTTAGCATGTGTTAGACACTGAGTTCAATCTCCAGTATGAACAAAACACACAAAAATCCATAAAAATCCATGCATGAGGTCCCTGGGACTATCCCCAACATAAGAAAAAAACCCAGCCAGGCGTGGTGTAGTCTCAGCTATTGGGGAGGATGAGACAGGAGGATCACTCAAGTTCATGAGTTGGAGACCAGCTGGAGCAACACAGTGAAACTGTCTCAAAACAAACAAAAAGCCTCAACAAACCTTAATAAACCTTAATAGTGACAGAATTGTTTTCTCCTACTCATAGATACGTTTTCAACTTCATTATTTTATTTTTGTGAAGTGTTCAGAAATATAGATGTTGGCTCTCTGAGATTTCTTAGCTGTCTTTCCTCTCTTTCATTTGACTTTCTCTTTTCCTTTGTCTCTGTTTTATCACAAACACATTGAGTTCTCCAAAGACACTTACCTTTGGAAGCCATGTAAAATTCTAGACCAGGGTCTTTTCAAGTGACAAAGAGATGAACACTCATAGCCGACTGATGAATACTTTGGGACTCAATTTACTTTTCTCTTCTTCTGGTACTGGAAACTAAACCCAGAGCCTCACGCACTGTGTTAGGGCTCCCATCTAGCTACTTTCTCAGTCCTAATGATAAACAATGGGGACACTGACTTAAAAATAATCAGGTGCCCCTCTTAATCACATTCCTATTTGTGCTCTTTTGATTTCTTTTTGGAGCCTACCTTTTAAAATCCTATCTTGCATTCCCTAAGCATTCAAGACTGGTTTTCTTTCGTTTTTCTATTTGATCCTGGAGTTTGAAGATTGGGTCTGCTTTACCACTGAGCAACATTCCCAGTCCTTTTTATTTTTATTTTGATACAGGGTCATGCTAAATTGTTGAGGCTGGCCTTGAACCTGATATCCTCTTGCTTCAGTTTCCCKATTATAGGCATGCACCACCATGCCCAGCTAGGGTTTTTATTTATTTATTTATTTTTATATTTATTTTTTAGTTTTAGGTGGATACAACATCTTCATTTTATTATTATTATTTTTTAATGTGGTCCTGAGGATTGAACCCAGTGCCTCACATGTGCTAGGTGAGCGCTCTACCACTTGAGCCACAACCGCAGCCCCTAGTTTTTTTATTTTTTAAATAATTTTTATTGTATATGTATACATACATATGGTTATATATACACACACATAWGATGTGTGGCAAGAGGCATGAGGTCAGTTTTCAGACTGCAGGAGCTCAATCCTTAGTACCAAAAAAAAAAAAAAAAAAAATTAAAACTCAACACAAATTTTACACATGCTAACATCAAAAAAGAAGAAAAGTCTCAAATTACCACAATTTCTACATGTCAGCCCTTCCTTAAAAGAAACTGAGGCTGGGTATGGTGGCACACACCCATAATCCCAGCGACTCTGGAGGCTGAGGCAGGAGGATCACAAGTTCAATGCCAGCCTCAGCAACTCAGTGAGGCCCTAAGCAACTTAGAGAGACCCTGTCTCAAAATAGAACATAAAAAGGGCTGGGGGTGTAGCTCAGTGGTTAAGCACCCCTGGGTTCAATCCCTAATATAGAAAAAAATAAAAATTTGGATTGATGAGAAGGAGCTGCAAGCATCCTTGTAAGAAAGGTATTGGATATTTTTTAATTTAAGATTTTTTTGTGTGTGTGGTACTGGGGATGGAACCCAGCAATATTCTACATCAAAGGAGAAGCTCCATAACTCAGTTTTGTGTTCTGATGAAAGAAAATGTAAAGTCAGACACCAAAATCATGCAAGAGAACTTCATTGCAAGTGAAAGTAAAGTAAGGTTCAAGCAAAGAGCACTCTCCAGAGAGTGGGTCTTCTCAGAGCAGAGGACAAAGGAAACAATACTGCTTCTAAATTTGCTACTGTTGGATGTTTGCCTTGAGACCTGGGGTTCATCTTCTGCACTTTTTGGGGGAGTACTCAGGGGTACTTGACCACTGAGCCACATTACCAGCCCTATTTTGTATTTTATTTAGAGACAGGGTCTCACTCAGTTGCTTAGCACCTCGCTTTTGCTGAGGCTGGCTTTGAACTCACAATCCTCCTGTCTCAGCCTCCCAAACTGCTGGGATTACAGGCGTGCACCACCACATGCGGCCATCTTCTGCATCTTCTGCACTCTGCCAGATGTTCAATTTCTCCTTCATGCTGCCTGTGGAGTTTTTGACTCTAACTCATCCTCTCCAGGATTGTCTTGGTGGCCATCCTATTCAGGGGGACTTCATCTACATTCAATCCTATGTCAATAGGGGTACTCCATCTGTCACCAGTTCCCTCAGTGTTCCTGCCTTACTAAAGAAATTTTCTTTTGAAGACATGTAGCCATAACTCCTAGCTTTACTCTGACTTCAGTGGATTCTGTCCAGAGTTAGTCCCATTAGCACTTCTTTCTTGATGAATTTTCCCAAATTAGCTCCTTTTGTTTCTATTTGCTCACTCTTTTTTTTTTTTTAAGAGAGAGGAGGAGAGAGAGAGAGAGAGAGAGAGAGAGAGAGAGAGTTTTTTTAATATTTATTTCTTCCAGTTTTCGGCGGACACAACATCTTTGTTTGTATATGGTGCTGAGGATCGAACCCGGGTCGCACGCATGCCCGGCGAGCACGCTACCGCTTGAGCCACATCCCCAGCCCTATTTGCTCACTCTTGAAAAACCAGAGCAAAGCCTGTCCAAGGAAGGGACATGACCTTTGTCCTTGGAAAGACCCACAGAGCACTCCTCGGTACATTCCCACCCTGCTAAGTTGTTTATCTACAAATAACAGGAGAGATCTGCTGAGCAAGGTGTCCCTGACTCAGTCAGGCTAGGTGGGGACCCATAACAATCCCCTAGCAGCCACCAATCAGCAAGAGACAGGGAAATACCTGGGATGCCAGATGTTTATGGTGTTGGGAAACCATGTAGTTCAGCATGAACACCCCTTTTGGCTTAAACCAATCAGTTCAAATGAATCCCCCTCTTGTAGTAACCAATCACCCCTACCCAACTTGTTCCCGCCAGTGAATGTGCTAATCATGTTTTAGAGTTGTTATTTGATTTTCCCGAGGTGTGATGATTTGCTAAGAGATGCTATGATGTATGTGAAGTCCCTGCCTTCCCCAAAGAGTGTATAAAACTGCTGCAAATCCTGTGCTCGGGGGCCTCTCAGCGTCACCAGTTGCTGTGTGTGGGGGGAGGACCGAGCTAGCTTGCAATAAACACCTCTTTGCTTCTTACATCGATCTGAAAGGGTAAAGTTTCTAAGCTGGAAAGCTTGAATGTAAAAGATTAGGTATTATTAAGTTCCTCTGTTACACCCAGATTCCTGAGATAGTTAAAACAACGCCCTACTGGCTGTTTAGCCTAGGGCCCTGTGCAGTTTGTCACAGGGCCCGGACCAATCAGTTTGAATGTGTAACCCGCTTACGAATGACCAATCACCCCCACCAGACCTGTTCCCGCCAATGAATGTGCCAATCACGTCTCAGAGTTGTTGTTCAATTTCCCCGCGCCTTATGATGATTTGTTCTGATGTATGCAAAGCCCACCGCCCTCTCCAAAAAGTGTACTTAAGCTCTGCTTGACCTTTGCTCTGGGCTCTGGGCTGCGCTCCCTTCTTGAGTGGGCACAGAGTCCCAGCGCGCTGGAATGGATCCCCAATAAATCCCCTTTTGCCAATTGCATGGAGAAAGTCTCTTGTGTGGTCTCTCCCTCCGATGTTCCGCTGGACCCCCCTTACAGATCTTGGTCTCTGGTGGTCTTTTTGGGGTCCCGAATTTGAGCATAACACTCTTAAGGTCTGGATATTGGGTTTTGTAAAAAAAAAATTATTTTTTAGTTATAGGTGGACACAATATCTTCATTCTATTTTCATGTGGTGCTGAGGATCGAATCCAGTGCCTCTCCCATGCTTGGAGAGCTCCGAGCCACAACTTCAGCCCCAGTAGTGGTGTTTTCTACAGGTAATCTGCTACAAGTAATTTACTCACCTACCTTGACAGTAACTTAAACACAAGAGTAGCACTCCAACACTACTAATTTTTTTTGTATGTGATTTTTTTTGTTTTTTGGGTCAGGGTCTCCCTAAGTTGGCCACGTTGGCTGCAAACTTACTCCTGCCTCAGTCTCCAGACAAGCTGGAGTTGTAGTCCTGTGTCACATTGCTGGGTTGAGTGCTTTGAGAGGTGAGAGGAAAGAACAAGGCTAAAGACATTCTTGGGAAAGGAAGGAAGTTAGGGTGAAATGTCCTTGGTGGCCCTCTACGGACCTGAATATTCTGCTCTAATGAAAACCAGTTTTCAGCATATAAACTGCAGAATGGAGCAAGTTTTGGCCTAGTAGGGTTTTAGTGGATGCTGGAGAAAAGGATACACAGTTGCATAGGGTCAGAAGTTGATTTATTTAGAGTTAGATGGGACTGAAGCTTGGGCTCCCATGTCCTCTGGGCCTAATATTTTGGGATTCCTCAGTCTGTCTTTATCTGTTTGACTTTAATTTTTCCACACAACAACAAAGAATCAAGCAAACAAACCAGAGAAAGGGGCTGGGATTGTAGTTCAGTGGTAGAGTGCTTATCTAGCATGTGTGAGCCTAGTTTTGATCCCCAGCATTGCCAGAGAGAGAGGTGGGTGCGGGGGGGGGGGGGGGGCGGACCGTGCATCAGAAAAGAAAGCAATGAAATAGAAAATAGTTGAAAAGAGGGCCTCCTTGGTGGAAGCTCATGTTCTAGCTAGGGGGACAGGTCATGGACATGACAACCCAGGGTGGGGGTGGCCTTATTGGCTGCTGGTGTGTGGCCCCAGCAAGCCATAGTATTGTGAAACCAAAGAACAGCAAAGGGCTTATTTTTTCTTTTCCTGTTTGAGTCTGGTAGACACTGTGTGAGGACCATGATACCTCTACAGGGAAGGCAGATGAGTCCACCCATGACCTCTGGTTTGAGCCCGTAGTTTCACTCCCTGAGCAAGGAATTAAAACATTGGAGGAAGATGAAGAGGAACTTTTTAAGATGCAAGCAAAGCTACTTTGATTTGCTTCAGAGAATGATCTTCCAGGAGGAAGGAACCAGGCGCCCTCGATGTTGAGCAGGAGAAAAGGATCATCTGCCTTCTCCCGAGGAGGGACAAGCCCCTGAAGATACACCCCAGCCACTGTATCCCACCGAGGCTGGGCTGAAGGCAAACCCGGCAACGACCATGCCTGGGTTCGGAACCCCTGTGCTGACTTTGGTGACGAGGACCCCAAGCAGGGACTGCTGGCCATCGGCTTCCTAAACGCTGGTCGGGCACAACATTCAAAACAGTCTGAAGAATGCAGGAACGCGATGGAAGAGATCGATTTTTCCCCAGCATTTTTCAGCAAAAGTGATAATGCTGAAGAAGTGGTTGAAAAGCTGCAAGCTTCCTGGGAAGGAGGAAAGCCAGAGAGCGAAGACCCGGGAGAAATCAGAAGCAGTGAGTCATCTTAATTCCTTTTACTTTTTCTTCTTTTTAAATCTCACCCGCCCCTCCTTTTGGGTTTATAGCCATCCTGTTGTTTTCGTAAGGGACTTCATATAAAGAACTGAATTCCAACATTCAGTTTTATTTTTTTCTTAAGTTTTTAGCCTATTGAAGATGACTTGAGAAAATCCATTCCCCAGTCATGAAAATATACTGCACAGACTTTCATTTCCATTGTGGAAAACGCTTATTTATAGTTGTCAAAAATAGTGAGTAAAAAATGCATTTGAAACCTGTGGGACAGGGTGCCAGAGGAGAAAGTAGAAAAAGAGTATTAGGGAAAAAAATCAATGTCACCAAAACTGGATTTTTAAAAAAATTATTTATTTATTTTTTTAGGTGTAAATGGACACAACACAATGCCTTTATTTTTCTGTGGTGCTGAGGATCGAACCTGGGTCTCGTCCATGCTAGGCGAGCTCCCTACCACTGAGTCATAATCCCAGCCCCAAAACTGGATTCTTTGTTTGTTTTTTTGACAGTGGAGATCAAACCTAGCTCCTCACACATGCTAGGCAAGCACTGCATGCACCACTGAGCTAGCTACACCATGCCCAGCTCAGATTGTACAAATATTTAAAGGATAATAAGAGAATATTACAAATTGCCTATGGCAATACATTCTACAACTTAGATGAAGCTAGTCTTCAGTTAAATCATATCCCTGAGTATCTTCCCTCCCTTCCTGCTTTTTCTTATCTCCATCCCTCTGTTATGGCTCGATTGCAATAAATCATAGAGTCACCAGCTGGCAGGTCAAGGGGCAGGCTGCAAGTCTCCACCCTTCGACCCCCTCCTGGGGTTGAGGTTTGAACACACCTTTTATAATCCAAAACCACATTAATCCTAAGTGGCTATTGCTATGATTCAAAACCATAAACAAATGTCATGAGATCTAAAATCGTAAGCAGAAGAGGAAGTGGGTCAAAATGACCCTAATTGAGTACAAGTTAAAGAAAGGTTACTAATGTAAGACTGGAAGACGCCACACCGCACTACACCACACAACACAGATCACCGAAGAGGTTCCACTTTATTACAAAAGGCTGTGGGTTTATATAGGTCTAAGGAGAGGTAGCAGGGCTGAGGTAGATAACAGGTCGCCCGTTTATTGGCAAGCTCTTCCATATGTCAGTTCAGGAGCCCAAGAAGTTAATTCTTATTGGGGCTAAGGCTTCCCACCAGCAGGATTTGAACATTGGCACTGGCGGGAATGTTTTGCCCCAGTGAAAGAAACAAAGAGGAGAAAGAGGGTTATTAGACACCATGTTGGGGTTTTTCTCTGGGGTGCTGCTGCCGTTATGTTTTTCCAACAACTAACATCTAGACAATCATTCTTGAATGGGTAACCTCGTCCAAGAAAAATGGGATCCAAAAAGAGAACAACTTTACATTGTATAACAACTGCCATTTTGTGTTGCCAAACATGCTATGCTAAGCAATTGTTGATGGTAGAGGCGGGGTGCTCCCATTGGAGAAGCATTTCTTAACATGACAGGGCGTCTCAGGGCAACGTGGAGTCTGTTTGGTCATTGCCCATGTAGCCTGGCCCATAACACCTCACTCCCCTCTTCACAGGAGTCTGCAGTTCAGGCTCTGATTCCATGGGACCTGATAAAGCCCCTCTTCAATGCTCTCTTTTCTGCTGCCTTAGCTTCTCCCCATGCTAACTGAACATTTTAGCCCATGGATGCCAGTGGCAGAAGGCATTAAGATAGCCTAGCATGGTGAAGTGCACCTGTAATCCCAGTTACTTGAGAGCCTGAGGCAGGAGGCTCTCAAATTCAAAGCTAATCTCAGCAAGGGAGACCTTATCTCAAAATTAAAAAGGGATGGGAGTGTATCTCAGTGGTAAAGCACCCCTCTGTGCATCCTCACTAACACAGAAATACTGTGTAGAATCTATGGGTCTGCCTTAATTTACTTCATTTTAGTCATTTCTTTTTTGTTGTTACCAGGGATTGAACTCAGGAATGCTTAACCACTGAGCCCTATCTCCAGTCCTTTTTATTTTTAGTCAGGGTCTCACTAAATTGCTTGGGGGTCTTGCTAAATTGCTGAAGCTGACTTTGAACTTGCCATCCTCCTGTCTCAGTTTCCTGAGCTGCTGGGATTACAAGTGTGCACTATTACACCTGGCCATTTTAGTAATTTCTTAATTTTAGCAAGCTGGGCAGCCAGACAAGGCACATGGTTTAAGGGTATTTTGGTATCAGGGATCTAGCCCAAGGGCGCTTAATCACTGAGCCACACCCTCCACCCTTTTAAAGATATTTTTAGTCAGGGTCTTGCTGAGTTGCTTAGCCTTGCTCAATTGCTGAGATTGTCTTTGAACTTGCAATCCTCCTGCCTCAGCCTCCCCAGCTGCTGGGGTTACTGGCATGAACCATGGTGCATGGCAATGGGCATGGTTTAAAATAAGCAAAACAGATTATGTATAGATTGTTTGTATAAAGGCCGAATGTCTTTTAAAAAGCCTAGAAGGAACTTGGTTCTACAAATGACAAGTGTATATTTAGATAACACTGCTTATGTCAACTATAATCCCAACACCTAGGAAGGCTGTGGCAGGAGGATAAAAAGTTCAAGGACAACCTGGACTGCTTGATGAGACTCTGTCAAAAAAAAAAAAAGGGCTGAGGTTATAGCTCAGTGGTAGAGTACTCCTGGGTTCAATTCCCAGTAGAGTGTGATAGTGATCCCTTTCCGTTGAATATAACCCTTGCTGCTCTGCTACTGCCACTTATTTTTCTTTCTCTTCCACTGCGGCAACTTGGCTGGGCACAAATCACGAGCCACTCAGCAGGAACAAACTTTATTTCCGAACTCCCGCAAACGCCACCCACGCGGCCCTTCCAAGAACACCACACACCAACCAGAACTCCCTCCACCGGAACTTCCTCAACCAACTTGAACTCTCCAGGAATCCCCGTGAGAGTTCAACTGGAACTCTACGGGAACTCCGGGAACTCCGCAAGAACTCAAAAGAGCGGATGCCCAAGGCAGCAGGAGCTGCCCTATTGCCGGACAGCAGGGGTCTAATAATACAACTGAATACACAGCCTGTTTCAATCCAGCATCATCCAGTCACAGCAATTATACACAGTTTAACTTAATTATCATCATCATCTTAATGGCTCCCTGTTGTCACCTCTCAACCATTACTTCTGGCAAAATGCCAGGGGCCATTCCGACTGTGGCTCTCAACATTCCACTCTACCTGCTCCTCCCTAATATTAGGGGAAACAGCATTACCTTTCTTCCATCCTATGCAGAATTATCTGTACTTGAGTATACACCCACCATAGGAACAAAGTAATCCAGACTTTGGGGATGGTACCAGAAGATCTCAGAAATATCTCCCAAATTGACAAGTGAATTATAACTCCAACGGAGAACATGGGAATGTAGCCCTTGAGCCACCTCTTTTAAAAAAGCCCCCTGTTCCCGCTGAGGGGCAGAATCACAGCCTTTGGGACAGGAGTCCCCTGTGTTTCTCCTGTACTAGCAAAGCAATAAACATTCTTTTTCCTTTTTCTCCAAACCATATCCTCATTATTGGATTGGTATCAGGGACAAGGACCGAGCTTTCGGCAACAGTGGGGGAAGAAAAAGATAAAAACAATTGTATCCTACCTTTTTCCTCTAAAGAGTATGGACGGTAGATCTAGATAAGTAGATATACAAAGACTTGTAGATTTAGAAATAGTGATAGAGAGCAGTAGGGAGGGAGGAGTTGGGTGTATAGATGCAAAAACAAATTTACATAGACTTATACATAAAAAAATACTCAAGAGCTAGGGGCTGGAGTTATGGCTCAGCGGTACAGCACTTGCCTGACATGTGTGAGGCCCTGGGTTCAATCCTCCACACTGCATATAAATAAATAAATAAGCAGATAAATAAATAAATAAAAGATCCTTTGACAACTGAAAATATATTAAAAACAAAACAAGGGGCTGTAATTGTGGCTCAGCGGTAGAGCACTCACCTAGCACGTGTGAGGCCCTGGGTTCAATCCTCAGTACCACATAAAAATAAAGATATTGTGTCCAACTACAACTAAAACATAAATATATTTAAACAAAACAAAACAAAACACAAAACAAAAACCTCAGAGCTATAGATCTGTGTGTAGCAGTGCAGGATCCACCACATTCACATGGACCTGCACAAACTGAATAAAGAAATAGAATGCAAATTGGCAAGGTGAACAGAAGGGTAATATTTTCCAAAGATATTTTTATTATTATATCAATGTAATCCTACATACACAGTAATGATTTTACAAGTTATAATTTTGAAAGAAAAGACAAAACGTTTTAGTTAGCTTTTGCATCACTGTGCCCAAAATGCCAGACAAGAATAACTTAGAGGAGGGAAAGTTTATTTGGGGCTCATGGTTTCAGAGGCTTAGTCCTAACAGCCGACTCCATTGCTCTGGGTCCAAGTGAGGCAACACATCATGTAAGAAGATCCCAGCCGGGCACTGGGGGCACAGGCCTGTGATCCCAGCAGCTTGGGAGGCTGCAGCAGGAGAATCAAAAACTCAAAACCAGCCTCAGCAATTTAGCGAGGCCCTGTCTCTAAATAATAAAATAAACAAGGACCAGATGTGGCTCAGTGGTTAAGTGCCCCTGGATTCAATTCCCTGTATCAAAAGGGGGGAAAAAAAAACAAAGGAGGAAAATCAAGGTGGAGTCAGGAAGAGATGGAGGTAAAGGGGCCTCAGGGAAGATGCATCCTCCCAGGGAACACCCT